AATTCAGAAGATCAAGTAAATCTGTGATTGATTTCTTGTTTCAGGAATAAAACCTGACGAATAATTTATAGTGAAAGTTGGTGTATGCGAATTTCGAGAGAATACCAATGCAGCGTATATTAAGTATGATTGCAGTGTAGGTGCAGTATAATGCAAAGTTAAGTGATAAGCATGAGTTTAAGGAGAAATAGTAAGACGAAGTAGGTTGAAAGAAGCACTTGAGTCGAGTCAGCATCACCTGTGGCCCTTTGCTGTTGTTTAGCTAATGCTTGACTTCCGCCTCGCTACATCATTTACCACCTAACAAGACTTGAACTCGTCTTAAAAGTTACTTACTCATATCATTAAGATCTTCAGTGCATCAGCGTTTTCAGGTCAATTATCTCTAATTTTACTTCTCTATTTTAAATATTACTTGAAGTTTTCTACAAAATTTCTTTTGGCAGAGTGACTCGGAAAATTTATAAAAAACTTGACCAGGAAGAAAATTTTCCTTGTTAATTCCTTATGATTTTAATTTGAAATTAAAATGATTTTCATTACATAATAAAAGATGAAGTCTTCAGCAAATATATGTCCAAAAGTTTTTTACAATGAATTAATTATGTCAAGTACAATTTCATTGCAGTGAATGAAAATCTATGTTTCAATTAAAACTGCTATTTTTCCCGACATATGATCGACTGAAGAAATATAGATATCAAAATTATCCTTGCAATTCATCGTAGTTTTTCATTATATGCTAGAAAAGAATCGATTTGTAACCTGAAGTATTTGACGTACACTCCAATTGCCTTGGGACTCGTGTTCGTTTCATTTTAAAGCATTTGATTCTAGAAATGTTGGATTGCATAGCATGCATGCACCCTTCATTGTGAGTGAATTGAAAATAATGATAAAAAATATCTACTTGATTTCTCAACAACGATATACACAACGAGTATAAAGAAAAAATAAATTAAACAAACGAAAAAATATAAAAAAAAAAAAAAACATTTACCATGCTTACTCGGTAATACGTCAGTATTTTAAATTGAAATAAGCGATAGCTTTCAATGAAAAAGGTAAGCAACAAAACAAAATCACAGACACAAAAAAAAACGCTGTTTTGTATTGCAAATTTACATCTAAATTAAAATTTTTCATTTTAATTTAAAATCCGTGGGAATCCGCATGAAGGTTAAACAAAAACTAGCGAGTAGAATAAAAACCTATTTTAATAAAAACATGAAAAATTATTTCTTAAGAAGATTATTATTAATTGCACGAGACTGTAGAGTGTAAGTTTTAATAAAAAGTAAAAAGATAAAAAGTATCATCATAATCGTTGAATTAAAAGTTTAAATTTTAAATAATAGTCGATCCTCTCGAGAACTTTATAAGAGACTCTCGACGAGGTGAGAAGCTGACGGTTTAATTTCTGAAAAAAAGTAGACCTTAGATTCCTGATTAAATGATTAAATACGCCCTAAAGCTACGGCATTAAATTCTTCGTTATTCATTCGCAAAGTCCATTGTTCACTTGGCGATACTCTGCCGTCATAGTTTATCGTTAATTTTATTTTCTTTATGACCTATTTTTCCACGCCCTTTTTTCCCCAATAAACCCAAGTGCTTTTTTCTTCCATTATAATACAATACAAAGCTATCAAATATTTTCAACTCATTATACTGCCTCCTCGACTTTGCATGTCATTTCGATTAAATTATCAAACTTTTTCGTTCGATACAACAGATTAAAAAAATCACATCTTATTTATAATTTAATAAATATGAATATTAAAATTAAAATGAGGTCGTTATTATTCTTTTAACATCATCTGGTCTAAAATTTAACGCTCTATGTCTGGCTGAATTTAAAATGCAGTTAAAAATACACCGATAGAAACTATAATTTATTGAAATAAAATTTTACCATTATTCAAAAATAATTTTCGCTTCAAAATGAACATCCATTAAACCAAATTGGTCTTAAAATTAAAATTTTTCAATATTTCAACTCATGGCTTAAGAAAATGAAACTATATCATATTAAATTGAATAACGTAAAACGAATGACTTATTCAATATCAATAAGTTTTCTGCCCTCCGGCCGGAAAGTGGCAACTTTCTGGCCGCTGCGCTAAACAAAGTTGCCACATTCCGGCTACGTCGAGCAGAAAAATAGTATACACACCTTGGCCAGTAAAAAGTAAAGCCTCAGACCACATGTTTGTCAACCTCGGCTTCGCCTCGGCCAACAATTACATGTGGTCTGAGACTTTTCTTATTTTACTGGCCTAGGTATGTAATATACTATTTTTCTATATCGCAGTAAAAATACCTTCAGTGCAAGATAACTGTTTCTAATAAATAATTCAACATAACATTACGGTTAATTGATATTCATTTCTATAAATTTATTTTTTTTTAAATATTAATGAATTTTATCAAATCAAACAGAATCCTATCAGCGTACATGCGTGACCTCAAAAAATATTCTGATTGAGCTATAAAACAATAAAATTGAATAATTAAAAAAAACATTGTCGATCCCTCGCGTTCGTTAATTAATTAAATTTGATGCAATTGTGGAATGTCGATTTATAACTACCACCTGTCAATGAGGGTTGTGGTTTTGGAAGCAAGTCGTGCGAGACAGCGGTCAGTCAGTTTGGGTTTTTTACGTCTCACTGCACTAATAAACAACGAATTTGTATATAAACTGTCAATTAAACATTTACTTACTGGATACAATCTCGCATCAAGATTAAAAGATAATAAGATATTTGATTAAGTAGTTTTTCTAAGTATAATAAAATAAAAATAAGTAGCTTACAGCCTAAGCTCTATCGACCAACATCTATGTATACATCATCGACCAGTACAATTTTGTAGATGATAGATAAGACAAAAAGTAGAAGATTCAGTTTGAATTTGACAAACAAAGTTATTTTCGAAAGGTGAAAAAACATCTGGATTTATGACAACCTGGACTTGTGTTCTTCGCACGTAATCTGGCAAAGTACCGAAGTATATATATATCAGCATCGCTTTTGGGTGGGGAAAAAAGGCGAGAGATAATTTAACAGTGATTCGCGGTATCGCCATGCACTCGACGAAAAAGTAACGGCAGGTGTTTTAGTCCAGTAGCAGCTGCAATCACGGCCACCATCTGCTGCTGAAAGATACTCTACTGTCCATTGGCGAATCTTGTGTATACTATATGCACTAGTAGTATTTCACCGTCATGGAAGTCCTCAATTATATATAATTTGAAAACACGTGCTCATTTTTTCTTTAAATTTTTAGTTACGATTGTTATTATCGCAAATTATTCATTGGTAATATTTATTGGTAATAAGGCACCTTTATTTATGTAATGTCTTTTTTAATAATAGAGAAGGAAAGTAATTAATTATGTTATGTAATTTAAAATTTTAAAAGAACAATTAAGTCTTAGTTTTCAGTAAAAATAAAGAATCAATAATTTGAATTATTTAAATGCTCCATGAAAAATACAAAGTAAACTTTGTTTAACCGAAAACCAGAGCAAAAAAAATGAAGATTAAATAATCATCGATTTTTAAAGTATTTTCTTGCAACTAAAAAAATTATTGCGACCTCGAGACATTGATCGATATCGAAATAAACTTTAATGATTTAAAAAAAAATTAGGACAGCTTTTAATACTAGTTACGAATTCATCAAATATAAATGATGTGTAATTCTCTCATGTTTCTGCACATCGACAGTTTTAATAGCTCGGAAATTAAATATTCAAATGATGATACTGATTTTCTAAAATTTGATAACATTACTGCTATCAATACAAAATTGAATGCGATGCTAACCTACATTTGAAAATGGATCCGGGGAAATAAATAATGAAACTTTGAAATAATGAGCTTTGTCCAGAATATTCTATGTAGGTGATATTTGATTAATTATTGTTTTCTAGTGTAATGGTAGTCAAATAATAATAATATTAATAATTAATAATTGTCGTAAGAATTCTACGGAAAGTTTAGTCAACTTTTTTGTTTTTTTTTTACTGAAAAAAATCCACTGAAGTAGGGATGAATAGGAAAAATAGGATGGGACGTAGTCCCCCGCTTCCAGGCCAATAGGCTGAAGCGCGAAAGACCTAATAAAAAAAAAAAAATACTGAAAAAATGAAAAAATACAGAGACGTTTGAAAATTCACGATGCGGCTAAAAGTTTAGTGAACCTTTCAGAAGACCAAGGGGCGCCACCGTGTGTTCAAATAATTTATTACGCAGGTTTATGTCACGCTTTATTACCAACAGAAGTGAAATGTTTCGTCTTACCCTGATAGCCAAACCGGTCGCAACTTTCCGTTGATTTGCTGCAGCAACTTGTCACTAAGTTGGCGGCAAGTCTTGGAAATGAACTCGGTTGTTCACCAAGTTGTCGGCAGAAATTGCTTTCGAAACTCTTTCGCACCAAGTTGACGACAAGTTTCTCGAGAAATTTGGCGACATATTGCGGCAGTAGATTGGTCTTGTTTTTCTCAGAAACTTGTAGCAAACTTGACGCCAACAGTTTCAAATTCGGAAGTTGACCGCAAGTTGTCGGTAAGTTGGTGGCAACTATCTGACACCAACTTGGTTGGTCTGAAACTGTAGCTAACAGGGTATCGATTAGGGTCTAACAAGACTTCTCGAGAAAATATCTATATTATCTATGCTTGTGTCCATGATTTTAGAGATTTCTGTAAAACAAGAAATACCTACGATGAAAATTTTTGATTTTGGAAAGTAAATAATTAAAAATACCGAGCTCCTTCAATCAATAAATAATAAACTATTATTTTACTAAATAAGTACGTGTTTCTGATATTTTTATTAATATAATTATTAATAATCAGGTATTACAATAATTATGATATAATCCATCACAATAAAAGAAAAACAAACATTTTTATCAGTACAATTAATCCCAATTATAAATCTATGCATCTATACATTTGAAAAAAATCATCGAACCAATTATTGAGCTTAATATCTCCCAGAACGTCCATCTCTTCCCTTTTCATCCCTGCCTCCTTTGCGTCTTTCCTTCGATCGTGATCGTCGCTCTCGCGATCGTGACCTCCGTTTTCGCTCCCGACCTCGTGATTTTGAACGTGATCGCGATCGACCTTTTCCACCTTTCCTGCGACTGTATAAGTATCGTCTCAGTTCTCGTGAAATCGGTTTCAAGTGCATGAAATTGCAGAACCCTGACCTGGTGCATTCGCTAAAATGAAAACAATTATCTTACAAATCCATAACAAAATTTGATTTAATTTTGTTTACAGGTATAAAATATTTATAACGCTATTTTTTACAAATTCATAAACAAAGGAAATAGTATAATACCCCATTTCATATTGACGGCAGCAGGCCTCTCGAAAATCAGTAACTGGAGATAATTCTGCGTAAACGGGTCGGCCTCCAAACCACCGGTTGTTTAAATTACTTACAGCTTTTTCAGCATCCTCTTCACGCCGGAATTTAATATAAACATTACCAACCAAGTGATCACCCAGATTATCACATACATTCATTTCTTCGATTTCTCCATACTTATCTTCGCACTCGACAAATACATCCTCGAAAAAATTATCATAATGCTCTTGCATTTCTTCATCACTCACGTTGGCAACCACTAAAATAATTATTATGGATGATTGTAAACTTTTCTTTGAATTTTTTATACTCAAATTTTCTATCAAATTTTTTAATGATAAATTATTATTTTATTTAAATTATTTAAATTTAACTCATCAGTTTTTCAATTTTCAAATATTTAATGAATATTTACTCAAAATAGAAGAATTTTATTTTTTCAATCAGAGTGTTCATTAGATTAATTGTTAGTTTAAGATATTTTCAAAAGTCAGAAGTAAATTCGTAACTTACTCGGAGATATTAAAATACTTACAATGTGATCCATCGGCACTTTTTGCTGAATTTTGTGGATTAACATAAAGATTTTGGAGCAAACATGTCTAAATAAAAAAAAAATATTTTTTTTTAAATTGATTTCAGCTGAAATGATCTGAATCTAAATGATCTGGATCATAATAACTAAAAAATTTTTTAATTGTCAATTTTACCTGACTGAATGTCGGCTTATTGTGAATACGTGAGCACCTATCACCGTGACGGCAAGCTCCAATTTTGAAGTAAAAGGAACAGTTAACTCTGAAATATTGAGAGTTATTAGAAAAAAATACACACAGCCTCATCAATTAGTATAAAAAATAGAATTCATAACAAATGTACACTTACTTATCTTTTTCGGTACCGAAAATTGAGGCGAGATACTCAGCCATAATTTAAGCCTTCTCCCACACTCACACTCGTTTGGATTTAGAGAACTTATAAATAAACATTAAAAAACGTCCAAGAATAATGCATACAAATAAATTAGCACTGCGCCGAGACGCCAAAATGTCTATTCCAACGTACTAATGTTTTTTTTTCAACCAGAAATGACAATAATACGCCGAAAAATACCCTAGATTCCTAGAAATCGCTTCCAAGAGCTGAAACAAACCCTCAGATGGCGCTGGCAACTCAAAACAAGCCATCGACAAACTTCTTTATCAACCAACTTGGTATCGAGCGCAATATGAGACAATTTCAAATGATGAAAAATGTAATGCAGGTGTATATACATATGTGTAATGTGTACATATGTTATCTTGCACTGAGTACATTGATTTACACTTTAACTAGCAGCACGTTGTGATGACTCATCACTAAAGCGAATCTGTATTATGACAGCGTGTACACGCTACTGCATGATGTAACTCACAATTTTCATTTAGCGGGCTTATAAGTGGGGTTGCTCACGAGAAAAACGTTTGAATCATGATTACGGATGATTGTTATTGATAAAAATTGTATCTAGGGTGGTCGTATATGCTCTACATGACTCATCTAATCGATTTTTTTTATTTGCATACTAAATATTTTATTTTCTGTAGCCTGTTATATATTCTTCTGATCAATAAAATAAAAAATTGACCCTAATTAAATTTTTGTAGAAAAAAATTATAAGGAACTTGGATGAATTTTTTTATTCATTCTAATAAAAAAAAATGATAAAAAATATTTATAATATGATTGAATAATTTAGAACCACATAAAAAAAATCACATATGCGTAAAAAATTAATTTGTAATAATTTTGTACGGTAAAAAATGATTTTTTTAATATTTCATGAAAGTTCAATTTTTTAAAATAATCAATTAATTTTTAAGAATTGTTATTAATATTCATAAAAAATTCAAACTAAGTGAATAATGAAATTTTTGCTCTAAAGGAATGAAAAACTGTATAAAAAATTATTTAGTAAAGCACAGTTGATAAAACAAGAACATTGACCGATAAAATGTAAATTTATCGTTCGTCAAAAGCTGACTAATATAAACCTCATGTGTCAAGAGTAATAGAGATTTTTTTATCAATTATCGCACTTTCGTCCTCTGTATCATACGTGCGTATATAATGCTTGAAGTTATATTTAAAGAATAAAAACACAAAGTAATATAAGAGTAAACACAATTATACATTTGTATAGTAACAGAATGATTCAACACGCTTGGTATTGTGACGAGAGTAACTAATTACTACTACAGTTAAGTGTAAATAATTATTTCGACTGCTCACGAGCGTATACAATTTTCCACGCATACTCCGCGTAGTGTGTATTTATGGTTATTTATATTTACAATTGCATTCATGAATCAAATTGCCAAGAGATTTGTTTTAGAATAACAACGCAACTGTTAAGGATGGTCGCGTGGCCCGATTTGTCATTTAACGAAACAAACTAAACCGCGGAAATGTAATTATTTAAAGTTGAGACATAAATGTAAACGTTGTTTTCGCAAATGTATAATTAAAAGTAATTGTAGTTACAATAACAATAGTATTGGATAGTCGTAAAGAGAAACGTCATGTGCCGGAAGATAATAAAAAGTTTGTTTTCACTCGATAATACTTCAATTAGAAAATTTATCGTTTTTCATTTCTTCGAAATTTAGTTTTTTAATTAAATAATTTGATTAGGATCAGAGTACAAAATTTTATAGTGATTTTTTTCTTGTCAAAGTCCGTTGTGATTATTTTTATAAAATAAAGTGACTCACTTAATATAATTTATTGTTATATATTAGTTGATTTTAACAAATATTATTTTTTTAGGTCAAATTTTCTAATAACAAATATTAAATTTTTGAGATGAATATAAGTATAAAAATCGACGACGAATATACGGGCAAGATAAAAATAACGCTACCAAATTTTGTAATTGAATCAGTGGGTTCTTTGATTGATTACATCGTATAAATTTAGACTTTATTCAGAGATTCAAAAGCGTCAATCAATAAATAATACAAATGTATCGTTATAATTTATAATAGTAATTTAAATAAATAGAGTTGAATAACTTTAACCTCTTAAGTCAACATATAAGTTTTGAGAAGATTCCAAATTTATAAATAAAAAAAATTTTCAAATTTTATTGAAAATGCTCAAATTTCTTAAAACTGAATTATTATTATTCGAATATTTAGTCACACGAATAATCTAGTACTCTTATTGTGTCACGATTATCGTAACATACGGTGACTTTACACTCGGTTCCTCCTATTCCACGAACATTTTGTCGCGGTAATTTTGACCGCATATGACTAATCGCGGCACCGTTTCATTTTGACGATAATGGTTCTTTAAAATTTAATTTTTTAATTTTTTTCATAGCTTTCTATAACCTGTAATATATTATCTAAGGTATAATGTATAATCATAAGACATTAGCAGTACAAATAACAATCAAGAATAAAGTGTATAATTTCAGCGAATGTTTTTTGATAAAAAAATTACGTTAATTCAAGGGCTAAATTTTTGAGCTAAAAACACAATTTTAAATAGTTTGATAATCTTTAATCAAGTAGTAAAAATCTTACATCAAGTGAAATTTATTTGAATTAAGAACAATTTCGTAGTTCAAGAATTTTTTCACTTGATTCAAGATGATCAAATGTTTCAAAATTATGTTTTTAGTTCAAAAATTTAGCTCTTGAATTAACTTAATTTTTTTATTACCCTAACAATTCAAAATTTATGTATTAATATTTAAATTGTTTTAAAAATTTGATAAATAAAATCCTTTCTTAAAGTAAAAAAAAAAATTTTTTTATTTTTGCCTGACTACTGACTTCCATAAATCTTTTTTTCTCAATTTCCAGACGATTTTTTCATAAATTTTAACTCTTCCTATTATAAATTTTCATAGCAACGCCTTGATTAACGTTACAATTTTGTGCAATTGTGCACCATATATTGTAACAACTATGAATTCAAACCTTTTGAAAGAAAAAGAATAATTATTTTTCCCAAATATTGTTATTAAAATAAATCACAATAGAGATGAGAAAAAAATTAATAACAATAAACAACAATAAAGTATGATAAATAAATAAATAGGCAGCTGATTCCGAAGAAGGCGCAGGCGCTCCCATAGGCCGGGAAATTGCGAGCTGGGGAGGTCAGCGTTCAAGCGCCAGCTGAGAGCTGAGCAGTCTATTAGTCCACGCGCGGTCGTTGCAGTGTGAGCACGTAAACTTGTGTCAATAGACTGCACACACAAACCATAAATCACAACAAACAAACAAAAACAAAGCTTATCAGTACCTAAAAATAATTGAAGCAAACAAGCATCAAGAAAAAATAAATCTCAGTCAATAAATTATTTAAACAAACATAAATTTATTTCGCTGATTAAAGTTCTCACCGCGCAGAGATTGCGGTTGTAAAAAATTGCAGGAGGTCAAGAGGAGTGACAATCGATATAAAGGTCCCCTGAATCGTTTGAAGGTCACGGATTTATTAGAATCTGCGCTCCAGACTGCTGAGAATTCACGGGCGACCTTGAGAGCCTGGCCCAGGACCAGGACGAGAGGAGGAGAGGGTGTCAGCCGAGATTAAGATAGAGGAGCTGGACTCTTGAATTCGGTAGAGCCGAATCGCGATAAAAGGGACGATTAAATTATTATAATGCCGGCAGACGCGGAGCTCAGCAATATCCTCAGCAGAAGGCAGAGAATTAACGAGGACTTAGAAGAAGGAAAAGAAGTTAAAAAACAGTACAAATTTGTCAACGTATACACCGAGTTCCATGAGTTATCACGCCGAGAGATAAAGCAGTACGAGCAGACCTTCAATAGGTATGTTTACATTTTAATATATTTTGTTAACTGTTGCCTAATACTAGATATTTTGTTGATAAAAAACATGCATTGTGTGAACCAATGTCAGGTAAATCAAACATTTGAAAACTACGTAATAAACATTCATGTAATTCGAGAGAAAAAATCTTGAACTAAAAAAATAATTTTTTAAGAGTTTTTTAGTCTTGAATAAAATAGTAAAAATTTACTCAAATTATTAAAAATTTTTTTAGTTCAAGATTTTTCTCATGAAATTTTTTATCAGTATTGTGTCATTAATTTTTTAAAATTTGTGTTCGAGCTAAGTGAAATTCTTGATAGTATATTTAATGGAGATTTATCATTGTATACACTTGTAGTGTTAATGTTTTGAAACAACTTGTCACAACACTGATTAAAAACGATTCAAAAGATTAAATTTTCATCTAAAAAATATTTCATAATAATTTTTTTCCCTAATAGTTTAACTAGTAATTTTTAGTTTAAGTAACAAGTAAAGAAAAACACTTAATTTTTTACCGGAAAATTTTCTTCAAGTATTATTTATTACGGTCAGTAATTTGTTATTAAATAATAAATTACTTGAAACAGTAGAGTAGTATTTACTCCATCTTGAGCTTAACAATTGTGAACACGAAGTTAGCAGTTGAATTTTTTTTGTATGTATTACGGTTGAAATATCTATCGATAGCTTCCGTACAGTACAAAGATCTGTGCAGGTGTTGTGGGTCGAAGGTCGACTATTGCTTTGTATACTGTTCCATTTAACCCGCTGACTTATTATTGTCTTGGAATTGTTGTAGGTATACTTTATTCTTAGCAATTTCTTTGAAACATTCAATTATTTATTGTTCAGCTTCCGGACACGTTTCTGCAGATGTAATGCATTACGCTCTCTCTTTCTTTCCCGCTCTACCACAATAATGAATTCAATTTTTTTTTTTATTATTTATAAATGTGCCTCGACAGATATAATGAACCAAAAGTCTCTAATGCTTACAAATAGGTGATTATAAATTCTCGAATTAATTAATCCACGTTAATATTTGTACAGCACATTCCCAGCTTTACCAAGTGTCGGATTAATTTGTTTG